TCCATCACAACCCTAGACCTAGCCTTCAACACTTTGATTATTTGCAACTCAAGTCCCTGAACTATTAGACATTTGACACTTTGGTCTTTGACCTTACAATTGTGACATTTTAATCCTTGACTTTACAATTATTACATTTTGGTCCTTGGTCACAGATTTGCCAATTACATATTTCCTAACAAACTCCCCCTTTGGCATTCTGTGACAAAAACACATTTGATAGTCAAGGATGAAAATACATTGACTCCAACCTATCTACTATCTCTGCAATATCTTGTTGATCCTGTTTCCTGAAAAGGCAAAACTCAAAATACCATGTGAAAACGCAAGTGAAATGGGAACAGTAGTCAGAGACAAGATATACATTATATATATCATTAACCAGATTAAGAAGCAATCACAATGTATGTTTAAAACACCAATAAAAAACATTAAGATTGCAAAAACATCAAAAACTTAATCTAGTTAGAACATTGCATATATACTCATCAAGTTCTCATCAAGTTTATATCACAGTTATCAAAAATTAATTTGCTCCAACCTACTCAAGTCAAATCAATCTAACTAACCTAGTCAAGTCAAATCAATCTAACTACGCCTCAAATTACTCCCCCTTTTTGTCACAAAGGGCCAAAGAGGGCCAAAAATACACAAAAAAAATAAGCTAAGAAGCAGCATCCGCAGCATCGGCAGAATCAGAGCCACTCTCAGCACTCGTGCTGGCCTCCAAATGATCTCGAATCCAGCGCAACTGACACTGACAAACAGCAAGAGCACGGCGAAACGAAGTCATCTCAGCAGTCTGACGCTCCGAAGCAGCACGTAACTGCGTGATCTCAGCCAATATACGAGCCTGCTGCTCGATCAATGTAGTCATCGGACCCAAAAGAGGCACCAAGGGGTCAACTGGCAATGTAGCCACCCCAGGGACTGAAGTAGAAGCAGAAGGACCGGAAGAGCTGATCGGAATAGTAAGAGGAGGAGTGGAACGAAACGGAAGACAGACTCGAGAGCCCCCAGTAAGAATATCAAATATAGGATCAAGGGGCTCGGAGGAATCAAAAACATCAAAAACCGCATCCGCAGTAGGAGCAGGAGCAGAAGAAGAAGAAGCGGGAATATGAGAGCGACTCTGATGTATAGTCTGCTGTCCAATCGGACGTCCAATGCGTCGAGTCGAGCTCTCAGGAAAAGAAGCACCTAAGGCTAAGGCCACCCGATGAATCAAACAAGCATATGGTAACCCAATCCGACCCCCAGGAGTACGAAAAGAAGCCAGAATCTGCTGGCAAATAAAACTAGGGAGGTCAATCGTATCCGATAAGTAATGCATATAAAAATCGGGCCCGCCCCATAGGTAAAGAAGAAGTATGGGCAACAGGCCAAAGGTTCGTGCACACAATGCGCAACAGAACCTGGCGATTAGGAGGTAAAGACCCAGTGGCCATCGCCGTAGGCCCCCCGACAGATGGGGTGTTCAAAATCGTCAACCGAACAAGGGAGTCGGCCGGGACAGAAGAGGGTAAAATATAGGGGTATGTAGGATGGGTAATCTCAGGAATACCTAAAACC